GGATCCTTAATAAACTAAAGTAACACTTTAAATGTAAAAAAAAAAGGTTTTACGGTTTCTCTTTTTGTCTCTATTAGTGCATTCTTTTCATGACAGCTGGCTGACTTTCAAACTGAGAAAAATTAAGTTTGATTTTTTTTTTATTAATCTTTTAAATTGGTTTGGAAAGAGCAACAGAGAATTGACTTTAATGATCTTTTACTGTATTTTTTCACATATTAGAGRCAAATAACTGGGTTTTCTGTTGTTTTTTCCTGATTTTCTGGATTGTGATAAAATCCATCTTTAAGACATAATAAATGAACAAGTTTCTGATAAGACATTAAAATTGAATGCTATTTTTATATGTAATATTTTTTTCTTTATTTATTAGGTTATGCATGTTATAAATGCTACATAAAACATAATTTTGAAAAGATCATTTGTATTCCTATAAGAATAGTTTGTTATATAACATTTCTTCAGTCAACAGTGACAGAAATTGGCCCTTGGCTTGGACCAAGTTTAACTTTGGTCCCCAACTGAGTTTGACACCTTGTTCTGGGTAGTTGATCAATTTGTGGTTTCAGTAAATAAATAAATAAAAAATCTCAGGTTGCCTAATCCATCTCATATTAACCAAGTGTTTCAAACAGTCTGTCTCTARGTTTCTGCTCTCAGTTAATTCATGTAAACATTCAGGCAGGAAGCTTTAACTTATCTCTTTAAAAACTTTTTTAAATCACCTGTTTGAAGAACCTGTCCCAGGTGTCTTGATGAAGGCCTCTGTAGTGCTTAAGCTCCTCCTCATCATCTTCCGTCACCGTGGAGACGGGAACAGCGCCGCAAGGAAAATTGAGGAGATTGTAAAGGATTGTGTAACTGGTAAGAGCTGAAAAGAAAAGAAAAAATAAATAAATATCTGCTTTTATCTCCTGTTCCCATCGTTTAGTGTATTTGGCTAATTTTATTATTTATTCAGTGAAACTGCAACAATGTTACATCAGAGTTAAATCCTATCTTTTGATACTTTTAGCAAGAAAAGCAGCTACCGTTTTTAACAGTAACCACCACAGCAGGTAAACCTGCACAAAAARAGCAATTTTTTTACTCTGGATTCGAACCCACAACATCACTGACCTACCATGGCCTTTAACGTTTTCCAAGTACTCTTACAATCTGGCTGAAATTAAATTTCCTGAATCTAAATGAAAGTAAGACAGAAGTCATCAGCTTTGATAAAGACATTTCTCCTGACAATCTTGGTCCTTTGGCTTCATTCAGCTGCTCTTCTGTRAGAAAGTTGGGTTTCATTTTTGATAATATGTTCAAATTGGTCAGGCAGATAAACTCAGTGGTTAAATCGAGTTTTTTCCAGCTAAGACTTATTGCTAAGGTGAAGCTATACCTCCCAAACAAGGACCTTGAGAAAGTGATTCATGCTCTCATTACAACTCGTTTGGATTATTGRAATTCTTTGTATGTTGGTTTAGATAAATCTCTGCATCGATTACAAGTTGTCCAAAACACAGCAGCTCGTCTTTTAACAGGAACTAAAAAATACGAACACATATCCCAGGTTCTGGCTTCTCTCCATTGGCTTCCTGTTCATTTTAGAATAAATTTTAAGATTTTATTGCTTACTTTTAAAGCTTTAAAGGGTCTGGCCCCATCCTACCTGTGTGATCTCATTAACATCCACACTTCAGTTAGAGTACTTCGGTCATCCAACCAGTTCCCCTTAGATGTACCTAGATCCAGGCTAAAGTTTAGAGGTGATCAGGCCTTTGTAGTTTCTGCCCCAAAACTCTGGAATGATTTACCTCTTAAGGCCCCCACATACTCGGGCGCACTTCGGTCCGTGGAGGTCCACGTGGACCCGAGGCGGACTCAATGCGGACCTGAAGCAGACATTCGCGGACTGGTCCGCGCAGAGATCCATTTTTTACGTCRGTGTCCGTGGTGCGCACAGTGGRGTGTACTGTTCTGGGTGCGACARCAAGCTGATAAAGTTGAGAATCTGTGTCATTTGTGGATGAAATGCAGTCAAATCTTGAAAAGCGTCTCATGGAGGAGATTAGAAAACTTTTTGATGCGTCAATGAAGGAATATAAAGACTTTCAGCGAGCAACAAATTTGTGGGAGGAAATAGCTCAGATCCTGGGTAAGGTAGTTCTTTTCTTTTTTTTTTCTTTTATTGTTTTAAAGCTAAAATACAAACTATCTCTTCCTCCTTGATCCTTCATACTCAAGCGGTCAGTACGCTCGAGTATGAAGTCTCAAACATCCGCGGACAATTCGCGTGGAGTCCGCGTGGCTCATGGAATGCGCAGTGCACCCGAGTATATGGGAGCCTTTAGCATTCGGTGTGCAGAGACTGTTGAGACTTTTAAATAACTACTTAAAACTCACTTTTACTCCCTGGCCTTTCATTCTGGTAGAGTTTGAGATTCTTTTAATGATAATGTTTTTAATGTTTTCTGTATTTTAAATTGATTTTATTGTCTACATTTATGTGTTGCCTAATTGTTTTACTCATTTGGCTTAATTGTGAAGCACTTTGGTCAACTTCTGTTGTTTTTATGTGCTATATAAATAAAATTGACATTGACATTGACAAAACAGTGTCAGAACTGGTCAGTGAGTCATACTTGAAAGTTTGCCACAGTATAAGAAGTTGTAGGCTGGTCCAATCACAGGGCACAGCAGCACATCTATGTTGCATTCCCTCCAGTACATTATTGTTTCAGTAATGTAGTCCTAAAAACAAAAAAACAGAATTAACTTTCTTTTTTTTATCATTTTTAAATCTGCAAGTATCAGAAGCAAACAATACCTCAACAGCAGCATGCTGCTTCCACAGATCTGGAACAGATCTAAAATAAAATAAAGTAAAATATAATAAAATAAAATGAAAGGAATTAATGGTATTTTGTCTTCGGACATAATGAGAAACAAAACAGGTAAACTACAAACCACAAATAGTACTTTCTCACCTAAGTCCACACAGAGCAAGGAGGACAGCAGATAAACGAGGAAACTGTAAAACAAAAGTGTAGTGGTCACCTCGAGGTGGAATAAACAGTTCGGAGGGAGCGTGTTCAAGGCTGGAATGTAAACTCCTCCCGCCTCCCACCTCCATCGCTTCTGCCGGAGAGCTCAGCGAGCGGACATGAGTCCCGGGTCGGAGCGCAACTGTTGCTCTCAGCTGTTAGAGGAAGGTTGCGCTCCGTGAGCTACCGGGAACCAGCCGACGAGCTACCGGTCGATCGCGATCGACTGGTTGAGCACCCCTGAGTTATGTAATACAAAAAAAACAAGTACAGGAAAAAAAATTCTCCTAATCATGAAAATAATTTGTTTTCCTACATTTTAATGCWCTTTTCCCCTCTACTCAGAGGTAAACAAACTGTGCTCTAAGGTTAATTTTCTGAAGGGTGAGGGTTGGGGGTGGAGTTCAGTGTGTGCCTGTGTGCAGCTGCAGTCTGCAGGATAGAGGGACTCGGAGAGGGACGCAGCAGAAAACTTGTTGAGAGTTTGTTGTGTTTAACGGGGTTTAACGGGAGATGTGGCTTTAACAGCAGCTCTTGTTGACATTCTTTAGAAAGTGTTTTGTTAAAAAAAAGCTCAAAAGAGCACATGGGTGACTTTTGGTTCCATTGTTTAGCACAGAGATTCTTAACCTATGGGCTGCGCCACCTTGAGGGCCTCAAAAGAACAACAGTTTTTAACTTTGGGCCTCAGAGGGCCGTGGGACCGCATTGATTTTGAATAAGGTAGTGTGCCACTCATATGTTTAACAACCTTTTAATGTAGAAGAAAAAACTTAGATACCTGCCGAAAATGGAAACTTATTTTAAATTAAAAGTAAAAGGCACACATGTCAAACTCACAAAGGGCTTGAGGATGAACCCGAGGATTCTCTTCAACCATTTGGGCAGAACATACATATTAATCTGACTCTCGAGACAAGGGTCCACAGGTCCCCCCTTTCTGAAAAAGAAACAACAAAACTTACTGACATCGCACTAGGTTTAGAGCTTTTTCAGGTATTTATGAGGTGCTATATGCAGGATMAACTAGTCTTAAATCCAGGATTTACCATTAACAGTCTGGCACCAAACAAAGGGAGCTGTTAAATTTCAAGGAATGAAGCGTTCACCCCTGGCAAACTTTGATCTAACAATAACATCATCATAAGTGAATGAATAACCTCATAACTAACAAACATTGCCAGTCAAATGTTTGGACACACATTCTGATTCAATGTTTTAATTTTTGTTTTTGCATTGTAATAAATTAATACTGATGTCATCCAGACTATGAAGGAACACATAAGAGACCATGTAATAAACCTAAACACAGTAGTGGGAACAATTTCTACTTATCTGCAAAGAGGAGAACTAGCTTCTCATCTGAGAAGGGCGTCTCTGCAGTCACTAGTACTAGGAGTTTCTATTTTGTGGGCTTAGTTGGTCCAAGACGTGATTGGTCAGATTGGCTGTGGAGTTTGAGGAAGCTGGGAGCAGCAGCGAGTAGCTTGGTCGAGTCAGGCAAGGTGCACCTATCAGAATAATTTTAGCCATAACATGAGAAAGGAGGGTGCTAGCTGCATGAAATTTGAACGCCGTACATGTGGAGGAATGTGTAACAATTTGGCTCGGTCAAAACATCCCTAACCAGCCCGTTAAAAGATCGCTGAAAATCAATATTAATATGAATATTAGACATAATTTGAGACAGGAAGGTGCTAGCCACGTGAAAATTGAAGTCAGTAAATTATGTTTACATGTTCACAATAATTTTTATTTCAGTCATTTTTCTGTGTTAAATTGTACATAGTCAATAAATCATATTATTTTACTAATACCATTGTTTCCTCTTTTAAGTTGCCCCAAAACACAAGTCAATCCGACCAATCACTGTTAGGGAAAACTCCACCCAAACCAACTCCGCCAATCACAATTAGGGTCAACTACGCCCGCAACAAGACTTCCGCCAATCACGGATAGGGCCATCTCTGCCCACAGGACAACATGTGCTGCAGAGACTTGTCTCATTTAGCGAAAAGGTTTTTTGCTAACTTTGGAAACCATTAGCAAACAAAGAGCGTCAAAAATAAAAACATATAACAATGTTTAAATAATGAATACAAAAATTAACAACATATACAGTAAAATATGGTAAAATATTTGCTATCGTTTGAATAACTTCTAGGGCTGCAATTAATGATTATTTTAATAATCGATTAATCTGTTATTTTTTCGATTAATCGGCCAAATCATTAAAATGCTTAATTACATGAATATGAGTAGATGTAAATTAAGTTAACTCCTTAAGGATGCAAGTTATTGATAATGAATTAATCTGAAGTTGTATTAATCTGAAATCTTATAGATTGATTAACAATTAATT